TCTCTCTCTCTCTCGCTATCTCTCTTGCTCCATCGCCGTATTCTAGTCTTGTCTCATTTTCAGCGAGTCATACAATTTCTGTTATCTACATTAGACTGATGAATGTTCTAATTAAGTTCTGCTAGTAGCGCAGATGACGGCTAGCGTATGAAAAATTGCATTTTGTTACAGTTATTGGCTATGATTTAGAGACATCAAGCTGCAAACAGGCTCATTTATAAGGTTTTTACTGTACTTCATGATTGTCTCTACTTCAGGATGCACCTCCCAATCCACTGAGATTGCGCTCTCCTAGTTCTGATTCGGACTCGTCTTCAGAGAGGAATGAAGTGAGCTGTTACTACATTTCATCTATGTTTTAATTCTTAACATTAAAAAGCTTGTCTCTGTTTAGGATCCAGAAGACCAAATGGGAAGCAACGATAGTACGGATAAAACCATCAAGGTCTCATCGCCTGTAAAGACTAATGAAAATCAGCCGCAGACGCCTACTAAGGCTCAGTCGCAGACGCCTACTAAGGCATCAGCAGACCCTGACAGGAGCAACAGTAGTAGTAGCAGCGATGACTCAAGTCGTGAAAATAATGCAACAGCGACCACGAAGGTGAGATTGATGTCTGAATATTGTGCAACTTAAACGCTTCTCGAAGAAAAAAGAGTATGAAGAATGTCTCGGTTATTGGGTGTTCCTATTGAACTTCATTTTTTTCCTTTGGTTCATTTGCCCGAATCGTCGTAATCCCTCTCAGATTACTCCGATTGCTCTGTTTTGTAGTCTGTCTAGTTTCTCTACCTTTGTGCCAATGTTGGCGTCCTTCCTTCCTTTCGAAGGCGAGATGGGGTAGTAACTAGTATAGCGCTGCTGCGACATCCAATTTCGGATTGATTCACATCTGAACCAACCAGGCCTTCCATCCCTGTGTGACAAGACAATCGTAAATCGTCTAGTGGGCATGGCGAGCGACACCGCCCTTAGATGAGTTGATCCTGTCTGCCCGTTTCAAGCTGAGTTTTCAAATGACTGAGAAGTTCGATATGGCTCTATAATGGAATCTTGTCTTTGCTTGAATTCAATTGCGTTCGCCGCT